CTTCTGCACTGAATGAGGGTAGCCTTTCTGAGCTCTGGTTTGACTCAGGGCACAAGCAGCTCATTAACCATCAGATGATTCAGCACTTGGTGCCTACATTTCTGCTGGCTGGTTTTCATCAGCAGACTACAGCTTTGAAGGTGAATCATTTATATGATACCATCAGACACCTGAAGAGGCACACAGGTGTCAAGTCCCTCCAGCTCCAAGCCAACTAGTTTTATGTGATACAGACTGCTCTTAAATTCTCCTCTTCACTATGCAGCCTTATAACCACGTTTCCCACAAAAATTCTGACTGTAACAGCCTGCAACTTTTTTTCTCCTGCTCTTGCAGAAAGAAATCATGCCCAGACAAGGTCTCAGTTCACAGAGAAATACTTGTAATAGGTCCTGAGCAGAGGAAAGACGACCTCTACATTTCATGCTCAAAAGAAGAGAGCGGGATTTTAGTCCCACCAAAGCCACCATGGAAAAAATGCTGTCAGATGTGGTCCCTCCCTGCCCCCAACAATCCCTTCCTATTTACTCATGGCCACTAATCTCATTAGAGTTCCTATAATTAAAGCACCATAACATCTGATCAAGAATATAGTATGCTGTTTAAATTAACTCACACAAAGTCTTTTAATATAAGAATGACTGCTCCAAGAAAATTACAAGATTTACAAAATAAAGCATCACTAACGAGAACAGGATCAAAACTGGATTATCAAGTTTCCTGATTTGCATGTAGAAAAAGCAGGCAGTAAGGTTTCTATAAAACTTTTACAGCTGTTTTATAGGAAAAATGAAACAAGTACAGATACAATTATATATATATATCTTTAAATATTTATTGAAGAACAAACTGTTCTTTATAGATGTTAGGAAACAGCAAATGTTAGTTTGGTCTAGTCAATACTTGCTAAAAAGTGAGGAGTGAGATTGTTGTTCTGAATAGCATTTGTCAGGTTTACAGATCGGGGAGATAAGAAAGCACATATAAATCTTGGCTTCTTTACCAGTCTGCAACAAGTTAAATATAAAAACCTAGTTAAACTTTAGGCCTTCTCCTGCTCTTAAGTCAAAAGTCTTCCCATAACTATTTGTTAATTTTCAAAGGAAATTTCCAAACAAATCCCAACCCCACCCCAGACACACAAACAGCTAAAAAGCAAAACCAGGAGCAAATTCTCCCTCTGACTTAGATGTACAAGCAGCCCAGAGAGGTTAGGAAGTCAATCACTCATTTAGTAAACCTATATATGCACAGTTTCTGAAATAACCTGGGTTTGGTGCCATGTTAAATGGAGAGAAAGATGGGATGTGAAGAAGATGTGAATGTAATATTACACCTGTGTCCTGGTTCTTTCTACCCTGTCCCCAGTTTGTATGCTGGATCTCAAAGCGTAGAAACCCACAGCTGAACAGGAAATGGTTCTTCCACACTTCTGACCCTAAACTCACTCAACATACCTAAGAACCCATGGAGACTGCCCCATCCTGAAACAACACTGGCTTTTCAAACAAGCACACTCTTCAGCCTCATCCACTTTATGTTCATGATTAAGCATAACAAAGAACAGCTCTGGGCTGCATCCATTCCTAGAGACAGGGCTTGCTGGGACCTGACTCAGGCTTTGTGGGACCCCCACTAGATCCTGAGCTGTGATCAAATCACCTCTTCTGTGATAACCCATCACCATCAATCACCTATCAGTTACCATATCATCAATTTCTCTGAGTCCAAGTGAATAAAATCATAGAGTTTTTCTGTGAATGTTAGATGAACTGGTCATAGTCAGACTACAAAGAGCCCTCAGGGGTCTGTGATTATCAGGCTGCAGAGAGAGAACAGGTAAATTGAGGCAGAGGTAAAGTTATGCATTTTCCCCAAGTCAGGCTCCAGACCAGCTTGGGCACTGCAGGCTTGCAGGCTAAGCTTCTGCTTCAGCCATTAAATCTTTGAAAGGGATTATGCAGCAAGGTGCCAGTGATAAGGACTGGATTTGACCTCTAAGGACCTTCAGATGCGATGTTCCTAAAAACAATTACCCTCATTTTCCAGCATGCTGCTAACACAATGAGCAAACTCTGCAGTTGAAGTATTTTCATCTGTCATTCTTAAAAAGAATGCTTAAAACTTCAGTTGATTTTCTGGTCTCTAAAGGGCCCCCAGGCAGAAATTTTGATGCTCTTATATGTTTGCATAGAAGAAAACAGAGTGCATTAACGGGGTTTTTACTTTGCTACTCCATTAAGCATCATTTCAGAAAACATAATGAAACCATCATGAAGAATACAGCTTTCTTCAGTGAGAGAACACACACAGACGTTAAAGGCAACACGAATTATTAAGTGCTATACTTCTGCCAGCATACTCCACATTTTCATCATAAGACACCACTCCCCCCAGAGTGGTAGAGTCAGCCAGTGTCTTCTCATACAAAGGGCACAGATTGTTATTTCTCTGACAAGGAAACCAGATCTAAACAATGTATATTGCTGCTTGAGGTTTTGTTTTTCAGCTGGTTTTTGTTTGCTTTCAATTTCAGGTACATTGTTGAATCAAGCTAATTGGATCCAAAATGAAAATATGCTAAAATTTTCAAACAAAAACAGCTTTTCAACACTTATTCATTTTGAACTTCTGGTAAATTTTCTTTTTACTTTGCTACACAAAGTGCAAAGTCTCAAAGATGAAAGGTGACTTGATTTCTAACCTATACTGGCTTTTCACTCATCCTTCTCAGAAATTCCTCTAATATAACTGAAATGGCAAAAAGCCTTTCTCTCTCCTCAGGATGACTCACAGAGTCCTTCCACGGCACAAAGGAAAGATACATCACTTCTTGTTCTTAAGAAATGTCACTTTCTTATTCTTTTGAAACAAGGTAGGGCAAGAACATATTGGAGTGTTATTTGTTATATTTTGTTTCCTTTTTCCTCGAACAAATTTATCAAGCAACTAAAATTCTGCCTGGTTCATAACAGCATCTGTAACAACATGCCCACAAAAATGCTCTGTGAATCTCACTCCTCAACATCAGTATCCCTGATGCAGACATCCTCTCCTCTGCTTCTGTATCCCTGCCCCATCTTTTACCTACAGGAGTAAGTACCCATATGGCTATCTTTCAATAGCTGCTGGGATAAGCTTCATGTGTGCTCAGCAATAGTAGTGGGCTTCCTTGAAGAGGCAATGCCTACATCTGCATCCAACAGCTGGCCAACACTAAACCCACTTCGTAGGGCACAAACCTGCTTCCCAGGCCAGCCAGCTGTTTCAGCTACCAAGCTGCTAGATCATCCTCCAAGAGTCCAGCCTGAACCAGGCAGAAGACTTTTTTTTCAGTATAGCTTAAGATATAGATAGATATGATAGATCACATAACTCATTAGATCACTGTAAGCTACAGGTACCTGCAGAAGTTATAGAAGACCACCTTAACATCACACCACTTGGCAATTTCCAGCTTCAATGCAAGTCAATATTCTGACTCGCACCTCAGCAGCAGATACGAAAGTGGCACAAACATACACTGACAATAAACTCCAAAAACTTATTGAGAGTTTCCAGTCCACCACTTACAAATCAAATAGTTCTGGGCTCTGTGCACTAAGTCTCAAGAAGGCTTATTAAGTGCTCCTGAGCTTCAGTGTTATAGGAGATACACAAAACATAACTGCATCTCCCATCCATCAGTTCCCATGTTAAACTCTTCCCTGTTTAATAAACATATCAAAAGTGGTTCATAAAAATGCTAGTGGGTTTACTGTTAGCCTGAATAAATGCTACCAGCACTAGTAAATGCTACACAGGCTACCAATGCCCAGAACGGAGCATGTACTTGACTTCGACTAGCATGTGCAATTTCCAAGCAGTGAAATGTACTCTGGTCAGAACAGGCCTGTCAACTATTTAGAGTGCGGAGGTAGCTGTAGCTATCCATCCCATCCCTACACAAAGAGTCCAGCAGGAGCACAGACTGCCCCACCCCACCTCTAAACCCCAACAGTGTAAAAACTCATTCTACCACCACACTAGCATGTCTCCATCGGGCACATCCCAAAAGTTTCTGTTGAATAAAAGCATAAAGATTCCAAGCAAAGGGTTTAGCTGGTTTTGTTTCTCCCACAACTTCCCATACCCATAACTTCCCCCATTGATCTTCGGGTTTAGGGTATGACTCCACTAGCAGCAGAAACAATACACAAGTGTTTTGTGATGCTAAAGTAGCTACTGAAAACACTAGTGAAGACATAGATTTGCTTTCGAGCTGCTGATTTCGGTTTGAAACAGCAGTTCTGACTGACAAAACAGTGATGAAGATGTAAGCAGCCTGTATGTGAGCCCATCTACCCAAGGTGGAAAACTTGTGTTTTCGATTTTTTCCTCCAAATAAATTCTTGTTTACTGTTGTAAATACGATTCTTCACGAAGAGTCACACACGCACCCCAGACACACACAATACTGTAATCTTTCATATATGGTATAAGACCAAACGCGATGTATTCTAAGAAGACCAGGGCAAGCGACTGCACCAAGGGCCCGAACACCCACACGTCCGAGCGGCAGCACCGGGGATGCGGGAAAAAAAACCCAGGAGCCCTCCAGGAGCTGCCTCAGAGCTTACAAACTTGGCTCTGTATCACTCCTTGACCTCTCTTTAAAGGAAACTGGTGCCAGCCAGGGAACAACAAGAGTTTCAGAATTCAAAAAGAAAATCCTTGTAAAGATGGAAAGAGCCTGAAGACACAGACGCGACCAGCTCGAAAGCTGAGGAACAACGCGCAGACAAGCGCTCCGGGAACGAGCGGTCATTGAATCAGCAGCTCGCAAGCAGGTCGCGGCCGAACGCTCTCCGTGCGGGACGGCAAAAGCTCCTGCCCGCTCCGCCCCGCCTCTGCAGCTCGGCGGGCGCGGAACCGGGCCCGGAGCAGCGCTCAGCCCGCGCCCCGGGATAGCTGCTGCCGCACAGAGCCCCCCCACCAGCACACCCCGGCAGCGCCCGTACCTGAGAGCTGAGGTACCGCCGCAGGCACTCCTCGCACACCGCCTTCTTGCAGCAGGACAGGGGCTTGATGGGCTTCTCCTCCAGGCACACGCGGCAGCTCAGCACCAGCAGCGGACCGAACTCGCCGGCGATCAGCCCGGAGAAGGGCTCGGGCAGCAGGTACAAGTCCACCACCTCGATGCTGCCGCCCGACGACAGCGGGTCGTCGCCCGGCACCACCCCGCGCCGGACCGGGAGCTGCCCCGCGCCCGGGCCGCCGCGGGGGGAGCCGGTGGCGGCCGCCGGCCGGTCGTTCTCCACGCAGTAGACGGTGCAGTACACGTGCCGCCGGGGGGGGCGGCGGCGGCCGCTGCCTCCATCCGGCCCCTCCTCCGCCGGGGCCGCCGGCTCCCCCGCGCCCGGCGGCTGCTCCGGCCCGGCCGCTGCCTCTGCCTCCTCTTCAGTTCCTCGCTGCTCGGGGTCGGCGGCAGGCGGCCCCAGCTCCCCGCCTCGCCCCAGCCCGCCTACTCCGCCGCCCAGGACCGTCTCTCGCAGCGAAGGCGGCTCGTCCGGGCCGGGCTCCCGCGGGCCCCCGGCCGGGCTCGGCGGCGCGGCGGCAGCGGCCGCTCGCGGCGCGTTCAGCGAGCTTTGCTGCTCCCCCATCGCCGCCCGCCGCCGCTCCTTCCCATCCAGCCACCTCCCGGGCCCGCTTCTGCTTCCGGGTCCCGAACCCCGCCGCGCCGAGCCCCGCACCGCCCGCCCGCGGGCGCCGGCCGCCGCCGCCCGGCCTCCCCCTAGAGGGGCTGCGGGCGCGGGGGAGGGAGCGGCGGCAGCGGCGGGTACAGCTCTGGTCAACGCCGCCCGCGGGGTCCCGGCCGAAGCCCGACCCCCATGCCGGGGAGGATGCGGGCAGCCGCCCCTACTGCCGCGGGGCAGCGCGCCCGGCCGCGCCCCGCAGCCGCCCCGCCCCGCGCGTC